TCGTACCTATTTCACCCTAAATATATATTTTTGAATTGTAATAATATCATTTTATTTTTATTCAAATAAAATATAAGTTATAAAGTATTTTTGTTTTTTATGTTGTGCTTTTTGTAACTCAAAAAAATATTGTATTTTTATACCTGTGTTTTTTGAGATAAGATTATTGAAAAAAAAAAAGAAATAATAATAATAATAATGATAATAAAAACTTACCAAGAACTGTGCCAGCGTATGAATGAGAAATGTCGAATGGTATAGATCCATGAGTACCTTCAAATGTTACGTCTTTACTGAAGATGTTGTCATCGCGAATCAATCGTATTGTCCACAATCTGCAAATATAAACAAAATAAATTTTGTTAATATAATATAATATATATATAGACATGTTAAAAGTTAAACAAATAAAATGCACAAATATGTTTTAACCGTTTGTAGTCGAATGGCGCCGATACGGCGCCCCCCGGCTGATTTCAAATCCTGTTTGTTAGTTAATCAATCTGCTTATTTATGACATGTGATGGGATATTTCTTTGAAGATGTATTTAAAGATGATACTTAAAGGGTTGAAAAGAGACTGTAAGGTTTACTCTGATCGTAATACACCTGAAGATAGGTGAGAAGTAACAAATTATTGTGATACGTGTTCTGATAAAACGATGCTCGTTAGAAACCGGAAAAAGGAGGAGGAGGAACCCAAGAAAGAGAGGCTTCTCGCTGCTTAGTTCAGGTATTAAAACAGAATAAGATGGAGGTTACTGGCAGAAATATAAAAGATTGTAGTAGTAGAAAATAAGTGTTAGGGTAAAAAGGTGGGTTGGAAAAAAGGTGTGTAAGGTTTTACCCTTTCAAATTTTATCTATAGCGAGAGAGTTCATTTGCATAAGAGCTGTAAGATCATCAGTTAAAGTCAATTAATAATCGACCTACTCTCCATGTTCTTTTTCTTTATCTCTCTTTCTCTCTCACTCTCACACACACACACACACATACATACATTCTTTTTTTCTTTCTTTCTTTGTAATAACAATAATAATCTCAGTATGCACTCGTGGTATTTCTTGCAAAAAGTTGGTAATCCGATAATACGTTGGCGATTAAAGTCAACGTATCTGTGACACAAGAAAAAGAAAGAAAGAAAAAGAGAATGAGAAAGTGAGAGAAGGTAGATAAGAGTAGAAGTGTAGGAAGATCAGAAGAAGAAGAAGAAGAAGAAGAAGGTTCATCGTCACTTAACCATTTTGCCTCTCCTTCTGCAAGAGATTATGAATTTCACATGGATGTGAATATAACTCTGAACTTTGCACCACGATTTCATATACCTCAAGCATTCTCTTTCTCTCTTTCTCTTTCTCTCACTCTCTTTCTCTCTCTCTCTCTCTCTCTCTTTCTCTCTTTCAAAGGAAGATTATTAACTCGAGTCAACGTACGAACACACTTTTCGTAAATCGGATGCATCTAATAAAGAAACTTCTTTCACTTATTATACTCATTCTATTCTCTTCTCTCATCTCTCTCTCTCTCTCTTTCTGTGTGTGTGTTATTCTCTTATTGAGTGTGGTATGATACACAAGAAAATATTAGACTACAAATATAAGTTATAATATTATACAACTTTGAGTATTTAATATAAATCATGACAAATGTTTAACACTGTTTGGTAGACATTTTGTTTTTTTTTTGAATCATTTGATTATATAAGAAAATGTTCATTGTAAATTGTAGTAATAACAAATTTTGATTTATTAACACGTTTAATTATATTCTTATAAATTATATATTAATTTTAAATATTATATTAATTTAAACTATATTATTATTATATAT